TTAATTACTTAATGCATAGCAAGATTTATGTATTGCAGGAAAAGGGGGAAAAAAGCAGTGGCAAGCCTGTGGGGTTACTCTTTTGTCATACTGGCACTAGTTTGGCTTCTTTTGGCTATTCTTATGCCAAGGAGGCAATAAACCCCCTTGAGAGTCATAGAGCTGCACGTGGAGCCCTGACAGTGCAGAGAAGCTTTTATGCCAAAATACAATACACAAAGGGATCATAAACACGTTTGAAAAGGAAGATGACCTCTTTGTCACTTGGAATTAGGCTTTATTGCAAGTTGCTGCCATGGAAACCAGCCCCCAGTTCTCTCTCCCTTTTAAAGGTTCCTGTGTCCATTTTCCAAGAACTTTAGCACTTTTATTTGTCTCTACACTAAATAAAACAAGTGAAAGGTTTGGTTCTTTACTCATTGTTTAATGTCCCCAGGTATGCCTCCAGCTACAGAGCAAAAGGGAAAGAAAGGGTGCAAAATGGGGTGCAAATGGACAAAATGAAGAAAAACAAATAGAAGGAGATGATGGAGTCATTAGAAAAGAAGGGGAAATTTGGAAAAACACTAATAATAAAGTCTGCTATACAATCTGATACAAATCTATCAAGCACATATATACGACTTATTCCATCTTTTAAAGACCAGCTACAGTGCAAACAGCATTCTCTTGGAGATGTGTCCTGGGAAATAACTTTTTGCCTCTTCATTTCTTACATCTTTGGAATTCAATGTGAATTGAGTGCCAAGTAAGTTGAGTCTTGAGTCTTAAGAGTTGCTTCCAAAGCCAGACCCTCAAAGTATGCCTACAGTGGGAAGAATTGTGAATCCAAGGTCCTTTTATTTCTTAAAACACCTGAAGAATCCTCCCCCATCCCCCACCCCGCTGTCAAGTTGGAGAGTTGCTGGCTGCAGAGGGGGAGGAATGGTTACAGAAGTATTTTGAGGAGCCTCCTCCTTTCCTGCTTCCACCTCCAAGGAGAAGCCAAGGGCAGCTCACGCAGGTGATAGCTACCCAGGGTGAAGCCCCTGTGCATAGATGCTCAGGATGGTCCAACCTTTTCACAGGGTGTCGCTAGCTAGTAATCTAAGTTGGCATCCCCCCTCCCCCGCTCTGCGCTCTGAGCAGCTGGAGAAGATGAGAATGCGTGCGAAAGCAGACAGAAACACCCCCATCTCCCCTCTCCCGACCTTGGCACCGAGGGCGGGGGGGAGTCGTTTGTTGTAGCGCATGCACCATCAGGATACTTTCCCACTCTGTCCTCGCGACTCACGCCACCTTGCAGGAAAATAATAGCTCCGGCCTCACTGGCTTTAGCGTTCTGCTTTCCGGATGACTGGATTTCTTTGCTCGCTTCTCCTGTCGGGGACCCTCTGAAACTGGCCCCAAGCTGCGTTCCCAGAGAACTCCCCCCCCCACACACACACACACCCACACACACAAAACCTCAGATTCCACTCGGGGACTAAAGAGCGACTCACTTCAGCGTTCTCCTTAAGAGGAACTCCATCCATCCTGGCTGTATAAACCAAACTGGGAAAAGAAAACTGGAAGAGGGGATGGGGGGCGAGAAGAATCGCTCTTGCAGACCTCGCCCCTCCTCGGCCTTGGGGGAACCCCTGCGGGTATCCACTCCGAGCCACGTGGGGCGGCCCGGAGGGAGACGCACCCCACCCCCACCTCAAACGCTTTGGAAAATAAACTGCAGAGAACAATAAACTCTGAAGGACAGGGAGAAGTGGAGGGGGAAGAGAACACTTGTCTTTCACCGCCACCCCCTTTTGGACATTCCTTAAGTTTAATCATTAAAGTGGATCCTTTATAAAGGAGGCAGCAGCTTAAGGCTGCCATTTCTGACAATCTGCCCCACACACTGTCAGTGAAGTGAAAGACCTGGATCTAGCTTTGTTGCTTCGCTACCAATAGCAGACTTGGAGAGACCAAACCTCTGATTTCTGGCCACATCAAAGCACTGATTATGCAAATACCCATTTTTTTAAGAATAAAAGAAAATGGAGGGGGAATTATTTATCACACAATGAACCCCCTGCTGGGGCGGGAAACAATAGATCAGACCAGATAGCCCTTGTAGCCTCAGGCTTGGGGGTAGGCGGGAGGGACGGGTGATGGAGCCCTCACGTTTTATTGGTCTAACCTAATTTCACTAATTCTCTTTTCACACATTTCTTTTGCTGATTCGGAGGCCGGGACTTTCACGCTCCCAGGAGCGCCCTGCACTGGTGCGATTCAAGGGCTGCCCGCTTTATTTAATTAATACATTCAAAGCTCGTCTGGGAGCCCGAGGGGGTGGAGAGAGACCAGGGCCGAGGGTGAGGAGAAGGCGCTTTTAACTGGTTCCAGGTGTTGGTGCCCAGAAGTCACAACCTGCCCAAGGCTGTGCAATGCAGGAGGTGTGTACCCGGCGGGTACAGTCGCCTCAGTTCCCCGCCTTGCCTGCTGGCCGGGTCCTTTAGCAGCCCAGAGACCCTGCAAAGCCAACAGGCGAGTGAGCACGGCCTTGGACCCAGAAGACTTTCCTAGGCCATGGGAGTAGACTTTGGGAAGGACTGACTGGGCCCTCGATACCTCGTGTCCAAGGCTGCCCGGGTTCTTCCTGTGACCTCTCCTCCGCCGGTGCACTAGGGACCGCGGAGGCCTCAGTCACGTCTTTCGCCTCCAGTGGGGTCTGGGCCCCGCTCCCAAGGCTGGCCTCAGGGTTGGCAGCGGGCTTCTCTACTTTTCTTCCCTCCTTCTTGGCCTGAACTGGCTGTATTTAAAATCTGATGAAGGAAAAGGAGCCATAACAAAGCCTGGGCACTTAGAACACATCAATATAACCAACGGCCGGGTCCCTGGTGACGCTAAATCCACGCTCCAATGAGCACAGGACCAACCCCTGCGCCTCTAGGCGCTCAGCCAAATGCGCCCTAGAGCACCCACTGGCGCTGGAAAGATCTATCAACTCTGGTAGTGTGAATTATCATCAGAAGAAAATCTCTCATCAAAGAGCCACCAGAGACAGAATGGTGTACTCAGAGGCCCAATGGTCAAAACGTGGGGAGGGAAATGTATAAAATAGAAAAGCGAAATTGTTCCCTATTGCAGAAGACTTGGTTTCTACCCTGCAATCGTACTCATTCCTACCGAAAGGCTTAAAGGACCACTGGGCCTCAGCCCATTAGGCTGAGGAGGTTCTGGGGGGTTGGGGAGAACTCCCAGGGCTAAGTGAGCAGTCGGTTCATTCTTAACTGCTGAAGATGATTAGATACCATAAAAACAATTGCACTAATTTAGTGTAAAATGAAGTGCACTTAGATGGACAAGGGAAAACCTGTAGATTGATCTCAGATGTAGACAGAACCCCTGGCGTGTATGACATGCTTCTGGTGTGTATGAGGATCTGCAAGTTCTGGCTTTGAAAAGGTAGACAAGTCTCTGGTCTTGGAAAAACTGAGTAGAGATGGCTACCAGATGCTGTTAAACTGGGGGTTGAGTCATTAGCTGTATTACACTTAGTCAAAGCTAAGATTATTGGGTCATCTGCCCATCCCTGCCTGTCCAACTAAGTCATTAAGATCACCTGTTTATAGGTTGACCTCACCAACTGGAGAGTATTTCCATGGCTGGGAAACTAACTGCCCCCAGGATCTGCCCCAACAGTCTTGTGCCATGAATTGTTTCATGAGCAAGTTTCCAGAGGAAGCACAATATTTCATCATAAGTATATTAATGGAACAGGCGTGGCTTGGCATCAAAACTGATGTTTTCAAACTTTCTTAAGTCATTTGCTTGCTTGACTTGGATTTTTAAACACTTAAAACATAAATGTGAATAACAGAAATATCACTTTCTCCCCATAGCAGATGATTTATTGTTGGCTGAGAGTAAGCCTATCTTTAAATTAGAAGGGATTTTTCAACAGGTTCCTCTTAGTAAGAAAACTAAACAAAAACCTTGAGTTGTTTCTTCCTTTGATAAAAATGGAATCATTAAAATATGAAACACTGAATATTTTCCCTATGGATGGAAAGGAGCAATTCCAGATGGATATCTCAGGAAAAAAATATCATTGCTTTATGCAGAGGAGTGGAGGATTTCGCTCAAAGCAGAAGTAGATCTTCATGGGTAGTTGAGTACCTTGAGCTACCATCACTTTTTTTAATAATATGTTTTTGTTTTGTTTTGTTTTTTAAGCTGGCGGTTTCATAGACACCCTCCCGAAAGCAACCTAATCCTAGAATTGTACTCAATCCTAGAATGTGGTCCACTTTAACTTAGTCATTTTTAAACCAAGGTCAACCAAAGGTCATTCATTTCTGCATTGGAGATTAAGATGAAAGTTACATCATTTTTGCTTCCTCCTTTAAGAAGTTTTGAATACGTAATTACTTGGACAAATATTAGGGAGCAGAGCTATTTCTTTCAGATGTATTCTTTTTATTCAAGCTCACTCTTTCCTCCACCCCAGGAGTTTGTTTTTTTCACACCAACTAGCTTGTTAAAATAGCTAATGCAAAATCAACTTCCAATAATGAATTTATTTGTTCCATTGTGGATAATAGAGCTGGAAGTGGGATGTTTAAGCATCATTTTCCAATCAGTACAGTTTACAAATGAAAATTGAAGCCAAAAGAAGAGTAAGAGCCAAATTTCTACACTCTCCACCAAGAAATTTCAACTTCATTATTTTTTAAAGCCAAGATTCTGAACTGTGGGGTTTATTGTGACTTAATTATCATTCAAGTTTTTCTCTGCCCTTTTTTGCTCACTTTGTTCAGAAATCTATTTCTTATAAAGTTTGTGTTTGTATTGGGAGTAAGAAATAATGTTATTTCAGCTTCTCATAATTTCTTAGTGAAACACCACACCAAACATTGCCAACAAATACAAGTGCTATATTCAATTAACATGGGGAGAAATTCAGGAGGAAAAAAAACGCAACTTATTCTGTATCTAAAAGTCACATAAGCCAGAGAAAGTTAGAATATAATACACAAAACTTATGAAAATTAGATACTTTATTTATAGTTTAATCACAAGAACAATTTTCTTGTTCTTCAAGATGTAAATACATACTAGAATAAACTCTGTAGAATATACAAAAAATACATACTTTTCCCATGAAATTTTTCTTTATAATAAATAGAAGAGAACACGTGTGTGGCTGATTCAGATAATGCTCCGTGTCTGCTTAGGTTTTCAGACTGTTGATTTATTTCTAATCTCTTGAAAGAATGGAGGAGTTCCTTCTCCTCTAAAAGGTCGAGATAAATAATGCATGAAGCAATCCTCCCTCCTGATTTTTCCCTTTTCCTCCACATTTTTGCTTTTGATAGAGAGTTCAGCCTAAATTTCCACGCTTGCATTCAATCATTACAAAGCCTACAAATTATACAATGACTTCTAACCTGGCCCTCTAACAAAACAAGTTTTTCCCCCCTTATAAATCATAAGAGACAGATGGCAAAATGGGGAAGAAAAAGGAAAGAGAAGAACGGAACAATAGGCATTGTGACGAATCTGGGAAAAAGAACAAAGTGCACATCAGAAAGGGAAAGTTTGGTTTGACAGGTGAAATTCCCACAGCCTGCAGACAGCAATGGGAATAAAGCAGATGCCAGCCATTGCAAATCTGTGGATAATATTATTACCGATAAAATCATTCAGATGCTAAGATCCATGTCTTTCTACTCGACATTAACATCTCTATGTGGAAGCAAAGGTGAAGAGATCACAGGAACCAGTTGCATTCCCCTTGGGAGATTCACACGAACTGCACCGAGTTGCCCCTCTGGCGTTTCCGAGAGAGGGGAGGAGCGTCATTCCGCTCCACAAATTCGTTAGATATGCCATCCTCATCTCTTCACAGCGTCCTTTCGGTCTCAGGAAGCGCCCCCAAACGCCACTATCCTCTTTGACTCATCAGACCTTCAATAAATCAGAACCCGACTGAACGAAATTAACCCCAAAGCCTAGGAATGCAACAACCAACCGAGAAATCACAACGGCTACATCTGCTCTAAGTGAGGTGGTTTCCAGGGAGTGAAAAGTAGGGGCAAGGAAGAAATGGGAGGAGGGCTTGGTTGGAACCAGGAAAGAGAACCCACTATGGCCCTGGCGTGGGAAGCAGAGATGGCAGCTCTAGATACAATCCCTGGCTATGGGGAGGTGAGGTGCATAGCGGTGCTTGTCGGGGGGTGGGGGCTGCCAATAGTCCATGTCTGACCCTGTGGGGCTGGCGGGAGATAAAGTGCAGCTGTAAGGAGAGGTGGAATTGGAGGACGAAGAAGAGGACGGTGCGGGGCTGTTGGTGCAACTCCACGTGGAAGAGGGCGATGGGCTGTCTCCGCTGCTGCTCAGAGCGGCGCTAGCACCTCCGGGACTTAGCAGCACCGCCTCGGAGAAGAGCGCCCCCGGCAGGCCCCCGCCCCCGCCCCCGCAGTGGTCTGCCAGGCGTAGGGTCTCGGTGAGCGCCCAGATATAGTTGTGAGCGAAGCGTAGCGTCTCGATCTTGGTGAGCTTGGCGTCCTCGGGGAACGTGGGGAGCACCTCGCGCAACGCATCCAACGCCGCGTTGAGATTGTGCATGCGGTTGCGCTCGCGGTTGTTGGCCTTCAGTCTGCGGGTCTTCTTGATCCGCTGCACAGTCTCGGCAGTTTTGGCGCCCCGGGAGACTGCCCGTGATCGGGAGGGGCGCCGCTTGCACTCGTGTACCAAACCCAGCAGCCGTGCGGGCCTGCAGCCCTCGGCACCCGCCGCTGAGTTGCCCCGCGCCCCCTGCCCGGCCTCGGCCCCAAGCTGCAGACGCGCCCCTCCCGACGCGCCCAGCTCCTCCTCCTCCTCCTCAGCGCTAGACGACAACGGGGTCAGGGAGGCTGAGGCTGGGGAAGCCGAGCCGAGCAGCACGAGCACGTCCTCCTCCTCCTTCAACTCCAAGGTCTCGGATTTGACAAACATCCTACGGAAAAGAGCAGGGAAGGAGGAAAAGGCAAATGAGATGTATACATACAAACGGACACGTTCTCCCTGTCACTGGTGCGTGCCGGGTAGGCGCACCGGCAATGACAGGCTCCGAAAGGCTCAAAGGAGGAACATAACTGGGGGAGGAAACCTAATCAGTGCTCTTCCCGACCCCAGTAGGAACTGCAGCCTTAGCAACAGAAATACTGCGGGGAGTAGAGGGCGTGCAGACGTGGTTCGACCAAGTGGAGGAAACAGCCTGCGAAGTTGGAAGCCACGGCGTGGATACTTACCTAGTTGGTTCTAATATGCCGCAGCGTAACTATTACTTTGGCGTGTGCCTGGAATCTCCCCGCACTCGGGAGCAACGCTGTGTCCTTCTCTACGCTGGAAAGAAGCGGGCCTGGCGCTACTGTGGCGCGGCTCTGCAGGGGACCTCTCTGACCGCGAGTTTGCCAAGAGCCCCGGCGGCGGCGGCAGCCCGCCCGGGTCTCGTGTGTTGTGGTGGTGGTGCGTGTCTGTCTGTCAGTCAGTCCCTGGCCGTGCGGCTCTTGGCACGCGACTTCCAGGCACTCCAGTTAAAGCGAAGCTGCTTGTGGTTCAGTGGCTGCGTGTCTGGCACACGACTCTCCTTAAAACCCCTTATATACCACCCAGAAAACAATCAGATCTGCCCCCGGGCCCCCACCTCACCGTACCCCTCCTCCTTCGCCGTCTCCTCCTCCCTCCTGTCCTGACCCCCCTTATCCCCCGCTTTTCCCTTCCCGGCTTATTCTTTTCATTGCATTATCATCATTCATTTCTTTCTCTTTCTTTAGCCCCTTCCCCTCCTCCCCCGGCCCTGCCATCCATCCCCCTCCTCCCACCACCCCCCGCCTCTCCTTCCCCCCTTTATCTAATCAGCATAAAATGGTTCTAAAGCTCCTGTTGGAGCTCCAGGCTGCATCCCGAGCTGCCGAAGCCGCGGCGGCAGCAGCGGCTCAAGCTGCGGCTGTTGTCGCGGCCGCTGTCCATTGTGATTGGTGGCTCGCGCTCGGCTGGAGCGTGCCGCTAATTTATTAATGAATGGAGGTCGCGAGGCGCAGCTGGCCAATCAGGGCGCCCCGGACTCCGGGAGGCCTTCGAGCCACGCGCACCGGAGCCCGCTCCCTTTCAGCAGCTCATTAGGGGCCCGAGCTCTGGGGGCTGATGGGGGGACCCGGGGTACCACCCCCGCCCCTGTCTCGCGGCCGCCACAGCTACCCCCCGCCCCAACGCGCGCGCACACGCATCCCACCCAGCGCTGCTCGGCCTTCTAGCTCGCAGGCGATGGGAGCCGAGGAATTAGTTAATGGGGGTCAGAATCCCGGGGAAAGCAGTTAGCCTTGTGGTGCTGCCGGGAGTCTCTTGGCAAAGCCTCTTAGGGGCTGTATCAAATGGTCCACGATTTTTTAAACACATTCATTTTGCTAGGAAAGGAAAGGGATACGGATGACAAGCTGTGGGCACTTTGTGAGCAAGGAGTTTGGGGTCCAGATAAACTGGAGTGGGAGGGTGATGTGAGAGGACACTGGGAATTCACAGAGGCATCTCCTAGAAGGGAAGATGTAGTTGGAGCATTTGATCAGCATTTAGAGAATGCAAGAATCAAGAGCACTCACGTTAGAACTGAAAGTGACTTCTTTCACCTGAAGCACACTGAGGCTCCTGTCATTAACATAGTTTTTTTTTTTCTTGAGTGGGGAGAAGGTTAACCTCGGTTTAGAGAGAGGCGGGTAAGTAAAGGAGGCTTCCTGCGTGGGTGGCAGCCAGCAGAACAGGAGGAGTGGCGGAGCTGTTGCTCCTGCGAGCGAATAGGCTGCGCTGACATTTCTGTGACCTCTGGTCCGCGCTGGGGGGCGTTGTAGGGACATGGGGCCCTTCCTCCCAATTCTCCCTCTTTTCAATGAGAAAAAAGAGCTGAAGGGCTACTGGACTTAGGAGGAAACTTGTTCTAAATTACACTTAGCCCTCCCCTATTCCCCCTAACTCAGGCCCACCCTCTTGTCACCGTGGCTGATTTTGCTTAGAGGCAGAACCAGAGACCCCTTAAATGTGCGTTGGAGCCAGTTTTACTTAGCAGTTACACGAGTGGTGGGATAGATCTGGACTCCAATAAACTATAGAGTCATCTCTTGAGATCCCTTTTGCAAATTAAGTTTATAGGAGGGGAAGCTGGAGTGTTTGAAGTCCAAGAAAGGCAAAAGAATATTATTTTCTGGTATTTGTCTCCCTGGACTTGTAGAGCTTGAAAATAAGTTGTGTTTCAGTGGGTTTTTAGTGTTTTTGACGTGGCCTTCTCTTGTTTAATGTTTCTGCAGGGAAGTAATGAGCAAGATTGGAAGGCACAAAGTGCAGAACATGAAAATTAGAATCTTGTGAAAGAGACAGACTTCTGTCTTGAAATTGTTTGAAAACTATAATAATTTTCTATTTGCTCTTTCATATTGATGTTTTCAACTCCTCCTCTTTTAAAACAAATTGCCTAAATTTAAAAGCATTATTTTCTCAGTCCCTCCTTAAATCCTTTCTGAATAGCTTGATTTCATTTGTTATAAGTGCTCAAATGAAAAGGAAGACACATTTAGTCTCCTTGGCACACAACATCTGCCTCTCTCAGGTTTCGGGAACCTACAGAATCAGAACTTCATAAAGAAATTTGATCAAGCAAAAGATAGGTCAGTAGTGAAAGATGGCAGAATTGTTTTACTTAGTTGCATGTACACATGAGCATTATTTTATAGGCAATGATCACTGATCCCAAACAAACAAATACTCTTCTCAAAGCCCTCCTAAAAGAAAATTGACCAAGGGTGTGATCTTGTCTAGCCAAATAAGAATTGAAGGAACTTGATGGAGTGAATGCAGGGTTTTTGTTTGTGAATTTGAATGAAATAAAGGATGAGAAAGCTAGTTTCTGAGGAAATGATCAAAGACTGCTAAAAATAAATACTGGGATAGTGGGAGGAACCATGGTGTGACAGTCTTTGGATATCTACATCTCTCCACAGGGGCTGCCTGCAAGGAGAGACAAGCCAATAGATTAATGCAATAGAAAACAAAGGAAGGTTTTCTTTAGTATCAGTAGAAACATATCTTTTTGGACAGGTTGCTTTCAAATTTTGATTTATCTAGGAAGTGCTAGGTTGATTTAATGACAAAATATTAAGAACAGAAAGAGCAGAACTGGAATCCAAGTAGAGACTTTAAAGGGAAGCCTCGGGAGACTTGTATAACCCCAAATAACAATGAGATCAAACTGGTTCTAATGCTTAGTGCTAGTGAAACATCCAGTGGGTTTCTTTAGTTGATTGTTAACTGTATTTGGGTGCCTGACTCCTCAGCTTATATATTCTCTTGGGATTTTATGTTTTCATGATTCACTAAAAGGGCACATTCTTTCCTTTGACAAAATTCACCTTCCCCGCCATGTGTGAGAAGTTAATAAAGCATATATGAGGGGCTGGGGTTGTGGTTCAGTGGTAGAACGCACATCTGGCAGGTGTGAGGCACTGGGTTCAATTCTCAGCACTGCATATAAATTAATTAATTAATTAATTAAAGGTCCATTGACAAACTAAATATATATTTTTAAATAATGCATATATGAATGTATGCTGTGCAGATGTTTAGAAATAGGAAAATAGTATTAAGATAAACTGTACATTTCCTATTCTGGAAGTTTCCTTTAAAAGGAAACAGTATTCCAATACTGTAAATAACAAACAAACAACAACAAAAAAAAAAAAACCTTAGGGCTTTGTATATATTCAAATATTGGTATAAACCAATCTCTAAATCATTTAGATACAAAGATATTATGTTTCATAGAATTTTTTTTAAATAACTGCTTCTTTGGATATGTGCACTGGAGTACTTTAGATTACTGTGGAAAGTACAGATGTAAAAAAGTCACCTTCAATATCATCATGGAACTCTTCTGTGTTTATGCTGCAGCTTTCAAGAGAGCTGCCTCCCTCTTCATACTGGAACACTTCGGGGAAATATGTACCACTGTGCAAAATGCATAAGAAAAGAAAAGAGGCACAAGGACAAACTAATACCGTTCATGCAATCCAGAGACCAACCTTCCAGACTCAGTTGCCTAGCTAGCGGAATTCTATTTGTTCAGCATTTTGCTCAGTTTTACTTGCAGTGGTTGGGGGAAAGATTTCGATTTGTACTCAGCTTTGCGAAGACGTGACCAACACCAAATATCCTTAGCTGGATCCTTCTAGCACTCTTTTAACTTAAATAAATTCAAGAGGCACTTGTGTGGTCTAAAAGATTGTCCAGATGAAACGAGGCTGAAATGTTATGTGAAGTGGGAGGGGAGAGCGTGAATAGCATCAGCGAGGATGGTGACCGAGGGCCGCTCCTGTCCATTGCGTGAACTGTCCTAAAGGGTCAAACTGTTCATCTTCAGCCCCTCTTTTCAGTATGCAATCCTACTTTAAGAGAACAAAAGCTCAAAGCAGGCGGTTATCAAGAAATGGGAGCACAATGATTTAAACTCATCCCCTAGCCTTAGAAAGAAAGGGGAGGCGAGTTCGTGTAGCAAGAGAAAAGTGAAGTAAGAGGAGGGGTGAGGGGGTGGAGATCTTTAGAAAGTCTTTGTTGCTTCTAAGAAGCTTGAACTTTAAGACGACCCAGAAGCCCTAAAGTTTAGGGTAGGTGTTACTGTGGGGCCATAGGCTACATCCCATCCACACTTCGACCTCACAAGTCGCAAAAGAGGCCAACTGGTCCCAGCCTTGCTGTTGCAGGTGAATATCTGGGGGCGTCAAAGAGGGCGCCCTTTCTCCGAAGGACAACAGCAAAGTTTTGGTTGTCTTTCCAGGATACAAGAAAAGAGTACGTCTGTTTAAAGAAGGGCTGACTGATGTTCCTGCACAGCTGGAGTTCATAACCTAAATCCTTATCCTCCGGATGATCTTTCAGAAAGGAGCAAATATGGCGAGAAAGTTCTCCCCTAGACACCAGAAACGCAGTTTCCAGAGCAGGGGTGGCTGGGGTGGGAACAGCCTCCCCTGTTTCTCCATAGAGTACTTGCGATTTGGGCTTCCTTATTGGTGATGTGAGAACTGGAAGCAAACGTGATTTCGGATTTTGGGGAAGCTCCAAGGAACCAAGGAAACTAATATAAACTAACGCCTTGCCTTGGTCTGGGTCCCCAGAGGCTGCTATTGCTTGGAACTCTTGGTCTCACCCTCGCTTTTACCCATGGATCCTGTCCGGGGAGGATTCGGCGTGGACTGAATTCTGGAGAGATCCCGGGTAGATCCCTACGCTAGCCCTTCCGCTTGTTGATATTCCCAGAATGGAAGGAATCAGCTAGCGGAGACTGAGGTTAGGCAAGATCATCTCCCAGGCCCAGAGCCCTATTCCGGAGACCACTGACTCAAACCGCACAACAAGTTCTGGTGTCCCAAGACAAACATGCAGGGACTCGGGCTTGACACCAAGGTCGGCTTGATCGCAGGATCTGCCCCGCAGGTGCTGGGAGGCTCCCTGCTTTCTTCATTGACCTACTTTCTCCCTTGCCCCTACTGCGACCAGCTTCCCCAAGCGCCCTTCTTTACCTCTAAGGAAAGAAATCCCT